TTGCCTGGTTCATTATCTTCTGGCCTAAAGCTGCCGCGTCAGCCATGCTCGGGCAACCCAGCCCTGAAGTGGCCAATGTGACGCTTGCTTTCAGCTGAGGGCAGTGCGCACACTGCTCTCAGCCGGCCACCCATCTTGGTAACGTAAAACAACGTAGTCTATACAGTGGCTGAGAGTGTCTAACATCTCTTGCCAGACACTGCCCAGAGCCGTTTCACAATGATGCATAAAAGAATGTGAACGGCAACTCTGCACTGCACAAATTACGCATAGCCAGCGCAGCTGCCTCTTCATGATAATTTCCTTCCCTGGTAAGCCCCCGCCCTGCTAATCGTAAACGTGTTGCCAACATGCAATAGTATACCGCAATGGAAACAACCCGTATTAGAAGTTATTTAAGGGGAGGGGCTTATTCCTTCTCTGCGACTTGGAAGTTATGTTGCTTCAATGTTCTGCACGTAACACCTAAGACAGCACCGCAATGCGAACCGAATTCACTGAGAGTGCTCTATGTTGATGAACAGGTTTTCCTTGCAGGCCAACAGGATCATCCACCAGAAACCCAGAGGTCACCACATGGTTTATTGTTTAGGGTAAACCTGAATGCCTGGACCTGGTTCCACAGAAAAATCTTGAAAGGATTTCAAAGGCAGACCTTATGAAAGAGGAGGTGCGAGAAACAGAGGGACCGACACGAAACATTGCAAAACACGGGCAAAAGTTAAAGCAAATGCACGCGATGCACTTAACCGGAAAGCCGCGACTACAGCTGCCCAGGCTCTATCATCTCAGCTGTGCACGTCGGGAACGGCTGCAAGGAACCTTCGCGCTTCGCCGGAAAGAGGTCCATGACCGGTGCCCTCTGAAAAAAGTCAGAGGGCACCCTCAATACCTGAGAAACAGGATCCTTGAACACCACACGTCCAAAGCCTATGAGCTTTCAATGCGCGATCCTGGAGTTCTTCCTCAGAAAAATGTTAATCAAGAAGAGACATGAAGCCACTAATTGCAAACACTGTATGCTTCGAACAGCCTGCGGTAAACCAGAAGAGGTGTCTGCAGAAGGATCGGAAGCGACGGTCGCCAGCACCTCCAGGACTTCTGCGCCCTTCGCCTGCAGGGACGTCTCAAGGGCTTCCCAGGCTGCTGTTCAGGAGCTTAAACTGTGTCAATAATGTCAACATCACGCATGGATATACGAGAATGAATAGGGCGTCCTTCTAGCAATCAATGAACCAAGGTCCTTAACAGCCTCCCAGGATTGTGTTCAAGATTTGGCGTGAAGCTTGGTATATGGGCTAGGGATTTAGGATTCGGTGGTTGGGATTGGAGTGTGGGTTTGGGTTGAGACTGCTATGTTTAGCTGCAAGTAGGGCTGGCAAGGGTTTCCAGAACCAGCAGCTGAAGTCGCACGGGCTTTGAGCTCATGAGCTGCCTGAGGGCAGTTGGCCTGCACATAAACTTAAGCCCAACTTTCTAGGGTGCACAAGGTGTCCGGAACTTCAGACAGGGGTGGGATGGCGCGGATTTTAGGGCTGTTTTGACAGTATCCAACATCTGCAAAAACCTCCACACTGGACCCGAAACCGGCGTGAATTCCCTAGATTCTCCAAGAGGAAAAGCCCTGAAGACTGATCCTGCATACTGCATACCCAGATTCTAGGGAGCTTGCCTGGATATGGTAGTCCTGCACAACGCTTGCGGCAGTGCGAAGGCCAAGCTCATCATCACGCGCGCCAATCCTATTTGGAGCTTTGGAGCTTAGGGTAATTCGCTTGACCGTCTGAGAATACTTCGAGTACCAAAATGTATGCCGCAAACCAGGAATCCTCCTGTAGAAAACCCACCCACTCTGGTCCCCAATGTGAAGATTACAAAAGGAGACCCATCCCCTAAACCCTCAGCGCACACACACATCCTACGAAACCTTTCGCATAGCCCTTACACATCCCTCCATGTGCCCTGAAAGCACGCATACATCCAGAAGGTACCCCAGCTAGCCTCGCAGGTCCCAGAAGCCAAGCAAAGGAGCTGTGGATGCCAGGGCTCTCCAAATCCGTGGGCCCCACCTTTGGACTTTTTCTGGTGTTGAAAGGGCTTGATGACTCAGGAGTCAGAGGATTCAGGGCTTATGTCTTTTTATTGACTCGGGCTTCTCAGCCAGCCTCAGCTACACAGGTACCGGGTAAACAGGCGGCTGGGCACGGATTCAAGGATTCTGGGATCACGTGTGTGTACTGCCTCGGACTTTTCCGCCAGCCTCAGCTGCCCTAGTAACCAAGGGCGGCCAGGCATCAGTTTCTGGGGCTTTGATGTGATGGTACTTCCTAATCGCTTCGCACACTTATCTTGCGGTTGAAAGTCAAGCCAAGGCATAAACACGATGAAGGGAGGAGAACAGGCGAAAAAAATGCTACGAAAGTAGTATAGCCGCAGCATCTCAAGAATAAAAACATTTCCGACCTGAGCCAAGGGTTTGGGGCTCAGCTGGAGGTTTCTCAGCAGCGGATACCATATGAGTCTCATACTGCGCTTACATATATACTCGTTTGCTATAAGCTTATAAGCATTAGGGGTGTGGGAATCATTCGCGGTTGACGTGATCCCTGGCTTCACAAGCCTACAACCAGAACGGCCATAGCAAGGAGGTCGCTCTATGCTGGTCTGTACGCCCAATTACTAACAGGATTCTGGGACCCATCTAATGCACAGAATGTAGATGCTCATGATGACCATGCACGCCAGCAGCAACACCAGCAGCCAAGAGAGCTGCCATCAGGTTCGCGAGACTTGCCACGTATGGGAATCGGCTAGATTCCCTCAGCAGGGAGTGATGCAGCTGCGTGCTACATTGCTCAGGCAAGCCCCGCCTACTTCTGGGACCCATCTAATGAGGGCCGTGCAAGAGTCATGCTTCTCTCCCACATGGGTTTGACAAACCCTCTAAGGTACCAAAAAAGGACCCCAATTTTGGACGACCTTCCGCCCGCCCTCAAGATACTGTAGTTGCTAGTGTAAGGAGCCCCCAAACAGCCAACATCTTGAAGTCGAAACCCCAAGCCGCAACCTCAATCTCTGAACCCCAGCAAGACAGGAGCCGCAGATACAGGGAGGGCGCAAGACGGCGCTGGTTCTTTCCCTTTTTTTGAGGACAGGCCCTGTTTTAAGAACCTGCTGCGCAGCTTGTGGGACCTCACAGGGCTGATCAACACTAGAACAAAGACAACAGAGAAACCAGATTTGAAGGCTCATTGTAGTCCATTATAGGTAGGGATCCCTTTTCGGGTTGCCTTCCAAACATACCTGAGCAGCAAACTGGTTCCTCATTGGAGTGTTATCAGAAACTCTGGCTTCATATTCCTTACTCGGTCTGAACATACTTGACATTAGAACTTCTGTTCACACCTAACTAAAGCCTGAACCCCAAATCCTAAGCCCTTCCGTCACCTCTAAACTCTAAATCGTAAACCCAAAGCCCTCGACCCTACACCCTAAACCATCACAAACCGTGAGCTCCCAGGCCTCGAAGGAAGTGTGGCAGCAGATCTGGTCCCGTGCCGACCTCAGCAAGCAGTATTGTTGATGCTAGAATTCTGCATGACCTTACTATGCTATAGTACTATGATTCCAAAGAAATAAGGTACTTAGAGTCATGCAGGAATTATGTTATCCACCGTAGGGCTCATTTAAGGTTTAGGGGTTCAGGGTGCAAGGTTTGGGGGGTAGATTTAGGATTTTGGATTTCAAAGTTTGGGTTTTAGGGTATGGATTTCCACCGTGTGGAGTTTCAGGGTTCGGGGTGTAGGGTTTCAGGGTTTGAGGTAAGAGGGCTTTGGGTTGTATCGAGCTAAAACTAGAAATACATTAGGATTATGCGGGGATGATGTTGGTCATCATGTACAAGTGAAACTCAAGTTGTTTGTACACCGTGTCTAGTCTTGGATACAGATTTCCAGGAACCTGCTCCTATTGTAACGTTGTAACAGATCTCAAAAGGGATCTCTGAGTTCTGAACCGCCGAGAGCATTCTGACCAATTCCTTCTGGATTGGAATTCGGAAGCTTTTTTGAAGTCAGGCCGTTGGTGGAATTCTGAATCAACGCCTATTTCAGACCGCCTACAGCCTGAAAACAAGCAAGGCCGCCCGAATGACAATTGCCCTCAAAGTGAACCAACCCTTCATATGAGCTTCAAGCCCCTTCGCCCTGAATGACTAACGCGCCTAAAATGGAAACCCTCTGTGGATGAAACCCGGTCACTCTGAAATTAAGTCTAGAATCTTGATGAAACAACAGTTCGTAATTGCTGCATTCCTCTTTCCAAGCAAGCCAAGGCTCATCCGGGCCTTACAACCGCGCCTGGCGGTCATGAGCAGGACAGGCTTTGACGGCACAAATCGGGAACAAGATCACATGTTGCGACGATTTGGACTTGCAGGGTCACATGCCTCAAGGCTAGAGACAAATCCAGCTTGACAACGAGGAAAGAGAACTTGTAACTGTACGTGCAACGCACCAGGAGCCGATTTACGGATTTCCATTTTTGCCTCTACCGCCAGAGCAGCTGGGTTGTCGGCGGTTTAAAGAGTAACTCTGTACAGGAAGGGCACCAACACCTCACTGCTGGTGTGAGGAAAACATATGCCATCTTTGTGATTTCGGATGCTCCTGTGCGGTTCAAGACTCAGAGCTGCTTCAACGATTTCCCAGAGAAAGTTGACCGGCAGATTGGATTGCAAGCAATCTTAGCCACGGCAACAACGTCAGGTCGGCAACCTGTTCCCATGAAGAAGTGGCTGGTGCAATAACGTCAGGTTGGCAAACAGCCCCGGTGGAAGGGCTGTCAGCTCGTTCCTACTCAAGTCCAATTGCTGCAGTTGA